GGGCTGGTGTCTGCCGCGTCGCCGGGGGCGTGCGGGGCCACTGCCGGGAGGGATCTGAGGGATCGCGGGGTGAGCGACAGCTGTCCTGCGCCTGGAGAGCCTGCGAGGACGGGAGGAGGGGGCCGCGCGCACCCGGGGGAGGTGCGAGACGGCCGTGCCCTGCCTTTTCGGGGAAGCGCCGGCCCCAGACGGAGGCGGGAGCGCCGAGGCTCGGGGTCTTGGGGTCGCAGCGGGGGTTTGGGTGGGAGGATTTGCTCGCGTGGTCAGTGGGCGGACGGCAAGATCCTTAAAGCAGGAGGACCTTCCTTCCCCACGAGTTCCTGTCTGGGTTTGGGGAGTGAGCTCGGGGCTCTCCCACCCCAGTTGGAGTCAAGACGTTACCCCTATTCTGTAGGTGACCTTGAGGAAGTCGTTTTCCACCGCTTTGTGCCCCGGTGTTCCTTCTATAGACTTTGTCCCCGGGGAAGATGGGGGGACGGTGCAGAGCAGGGGCTTGACAGGACACCAGAGGAGAAGTGGTGGCGTGCTAGGAATGGGGTGGCCACCTACAGTTTTTCCTTCAGGAAACGTGTTTGTTATTGTCCCACTTTCTCATTTTTTTTCAGGACTGAATCCTACCACTGGACTGCCATTTCTTTGGGATAATGAACATGATCTGTTTGCAGGCGCCCCACCCTCCTAACTGCTGCCACTTACTACCCCCAGATTCTTAAACTAGAATTGGAGGCCAGGAAGGAATTGGATATGCCGCTTAATTTGATTGACCTCAGTTTTTTAACCTGTAAAATGGGAAGAAGTAATGGTAGCAAAGATTGGAGGAGATAATTTATGTGAATGTTACCCCTAAATCAGCATTATAAATGCAAGATTCTAGTGCCCTGTTTATGCATAGATGAGGAAACAGAGGGCTCTGGGTTCATGCCTTATCCTAGGGCATGTAGCTGTTAACTGGGAGAAAGAGGGCTGGACCTGACTCTTGGCTCAGAGTATTTTCACTTATACCTCACCGATCCTCTTCGCTGAGTGTTTTGAAGGATGTCGTCTTCCTTCCCTTCCTTACATTCCTTTTGTCCCTTCCAGACATCTCCTGAAGAGCCGCCATGTCTGGGAATAATGCATCTTCCTCAGAAGAGAACAATAGCAGCTATGAAACCAAAACCTCAAATCTTCGAATATCAGAGAAGAAATGTTGTTGTAAGTTCTGACAAAAAGGAGGGTTGCTCTCTCCCAGAATTTTATCCTGGGAATATAGTTGTCATCCTAGACTTTGCTGCTTGGTGGGAGTGAGAAATAATTCCTTGACATGGAAATTTAAAGTCTACAAGGGGAAACTCCTGTCTGAAAAAAGTAGTCTCAGTGAAATGTCTGTCCTTGGGGCTAGCCTGCTGGTGTAGCCCAGCATTATCTTATTGCTTTCTTTAACTGAATCTCCATCTCCTGGGGGTATCTGCTCACTGATACTAAAAATTATGGCAAGCATTAGTAGTATACACTGTGTAAGGCAGTGTGGCAGTGTGCAGGAATTACTTGGGGCTGATACTGTTAACAGTTTCCCTTTGTTTCTTGGGCTACGTTTTGTGAGGGTTCTGCTCTCTGTAGAAATTGCCAGTAGCTCATTTCTATAGCCCTCAGTGGAATCAGTCCTGACGTTAGACTTTTCACTGTTTCTTGAGCACCTTACTTTCTCACAGGTTTAGCCTTTGGACGTTGCAAACTTTGTTTCCTACAAGTTCATTCCTCTGGGGACAGGTTTCACAGGAGATTTTAATGCCAATTCTTTAGACAGAGATGGCAGGTGGGATTGCAGAGAGATGAAGCATCAGTAGTCCTAAGCCTCATTATAGACCTCAACAGTGCATGGCCTGGTCCAGAAGGTCCTGGGCCACTGGGCCCCAGATGTCTTGGGGAATCTAAGGGAATGCCAACCCTTCTTCCTGCGTCCAGATTGCATTTCCCTTTGGAGCCCTACCAGTCAGTTCTTCTCACTTCAGTGGTTATATATATATTGGCAGGTGAAAACAGCCGAGCAGCATGAGACCTGGAATCATCTCATGTTCAAAGCTTTCCCCAGAGTCTCGGCCTTGATGTCATGACCTTTTCAGTCTCCTGATTAATGATGATAATCTCTTTCCACCTGGCGCCAGTGAGGCTTGCTGGGGTTTGGACTGTAGCAGGGGCAGTTTGTTTAGATGTGATAACCGGGGTTGGCGTATCTCTACTATTAGGATCTCCTTTCTCTGCCAGGGCAGGAAGCTGGGTACCGAGGGCAAATACCCCATGGGAGATAACTAGCATAGCGTGATGTTTCAGTGCAGCCCGTAGAGTCAGACTGCCTGGGTTTGAGTCTGGGATTTAATACCACCTAGCTGTGTTCCCTTGAACAAGTTGCTTATCCCCTTTATAAAATTGGGATACTAATAGTATCTCCCCTCAGAGTGATGTGAGAATTAAATTATTAAATACAAGAAGGCACTTGGAAGAGTGTTGGGTACATAGCTAGGTGTATTATTTTCACTGGTGACTCTATTTGCATGTTGTGTTTATTTTTGAAACATTATAAATTGAGTTGTAGTCTAAATGCTGTGCAGGGAGCTCACTATTTAAAAGAACCCTGTGAGGAATCATATTTTCCATAAAGAATGGTTTCTCCTCTTGTTTGACAATATTGTAACCCAGATTTGGGGGTATGGTTGCCATCTTAAAGAGAGATGTACTTGATTCAGAAGGGAGCAGAGAGCTGGTGTGTGTGTTGGGGGGGGTGATAATTGTGGGAGTCACTGACCCTGCACAATGCCCAGTGCTCTGCTTTATTCTCCAAAGGCATCTCCTACCTGCCTTCCTGACTCTAATGCAGTTTTATGCCTTGAAGGCTTTCCATTAGCCAAGGAAACAGTAACTGCAGGTCTCTAGTCCTCTGGACTCTAATTCCTGGTTTGGGCTTTGATCCTCTTTTTTCTGCCCCACCCGAAGCATCCGGGTTGTCTAAAAGCCACTGTCCTTCACTTACCCCATCTCTTCTCCCCTTCCGGGTGAGACCGTTACAGTCAAAGGAGAAATACAGTTATGAGCATATGTGTCAATTCATTTCCTTCTTCTCTTGTTATTTGCCTGTATCTTGGAACAGGCTCCCCTGGCTGCTCAGCGTTCACACCCAGCTGTTACTTTATTAATAGCTCCACTAACCATTCCCCTCGCTGCTAATTACACCTGGGTTGGCTGTCTTTGACTCTATGAAGTGACTGAGCTGGAGGAGTGAAGAAATACTTTAGGGAATCAAAACCTCCAAAGGATCCTTACTGGAACTTCAGCTGCTCTCGGGATGGGGTGAAGGGGAGTGGTGATGGCTGAGGTGCCTTTAAGGTGCTCAGAGGACTGCTGTCAGGGCTCTGTGAAAGCAGGAGTGTGTAGGGGAAGAGGTCTACATGCTTTTCTTTCTTTGTTTTGTCTATCCTTTAATATTTTGAGTAGGTCTGGAACAGACAAATTCCCTTTCCCTAATTACAAAAGCAATACATGTTCATGAAGTATTCAGATAACCCAGAAAGTGAAAAGTGAAAAATCTCTCACAATTTCTCCTGTCCCTGTTAAGTTTGATTCTTTCCAACACCTTATTCTGGTGTATCCTAGTAAAGAAAAAAGGTTCATGCTGTATGCATTTGGTTCTGCTGCCGTTACCCTCCCCCCCATTAAACTTACTGTATCTTGTAAGGCAAGTAAATTTAAGATTGAGAAAGCGAGTGAAACCTTGTGTAAAGATAGAAGAGAATTTCAAGATTGAAACAGCTTTCCACTCTATGCCAAGGAGTGTATTACATTGTCTCTGAAGTTAATCAACATGACATATCTACTATTGAAATTAAGGTTGTGGTGGTGGTTTTGTTATTTTAACAGGCAGGACAGTATGTTCCTAGTTCTGCTAATGTGACAATTTTGAGATAGGAAGTGCGGTTTAGTTTTCTACTCCGGAAAATGAGAAGCCCTGGTTACAGCAGATGTGTGTGGGTGTATTGTGGGCACAGGGGGTTGGTGTGGTGCTGGGGAGACATTAGTGACCTGTATTTTCTTTTGTTCTGAACCCTCTCTGTCCAGTTTGGTTTACTTAGAGCAGCTGGTTCCCTGGTTAGCTTCAGAGCAGCTCCCAAGTATCAGTTTATTTTCAGCATTAGGGAGGTAATAGGACCTTTGGGGAAGTGCCTAATGGACTGGAACGTGTGGACAAAGCTGGCCTAGAAGTGCAGGTAATGAGCCATATCATGGGGCATTGAGAGGAGTGGGGCACTGAGCTGGAGAAAGTGAAGACTCAGGAGGATTTAAATACTGAAATCCGGAGGCAGCTGAACCGAGGTAGGTAGACCTGCCGGTCAGAGGTCAGAGGTCATGGATTAACATCAGCTGAGGCTGCTGGGTGAGTTCCCTTGCCTTTGTGCTACAGATTTGGTGAGATGAAAATCACTTCTGATGCCCAGGCCCAGGAATCTTCCATGTGCCAGGCCCTCAGACTCTGAGTCTACCTTCCCTCACCACTTGGGCCACTCTTGGGCTTCCGAGTGCTTCTTGCCAAACACCCTTTGGAAACTCTTCCTTCCGAGTCTTTTCTCTACACAGGCCCTTCTGCCCACTTCTCCATTGAGATCTTTTTACATTGTTTCCCCAAAAGAGAAAAGATGACTTTTCCATCTAAGGACCCCAATTTTACAGAATTGTTTCTTTGTCTCGTAGGGGCACCTTCTCCCTCCCAGGGTAGAGCGGCGGCAGCAACAACTTTCAGGGCACCCCTGGAAATCTCTGCTGGGGAGCGAAGGCAGTTCTTTCCCTCTCCCCTCTGTGTGCCCTTAGAGGAGCCTGCAGAGCTCGAGCCTCCCAGGTGACCTCCTTTGGATCTTGCCCTAGGAAAGTGGCTGGCAGCAGTGTGGGGCCCTCGCCCACCACTCCTCTGTAGCAGGATGGGCAGAGGGGAGCCAGACCCTGTGAGCAAGCTGATGAGAAATCATAGGCTTTTTTATGGAGAAAAGCCACAGAGGAAGCACAAGATCTGGACTCTAGTGCCTTATTGTGTGTCCATAGGCAAGTCACCTGACTGACTCTGAGCATCTAGTTTGCCCCATCTGTCTAGTGAGACCTATGTCTGTAAATGAGTATTCCTGAAATAAGTTTCCTATGGAAGGGTAGACCAATGACTATTTTGCCTCTAAATTGTCTTGCTTTCCATTGAGGCAGGCTGGCCATGATGCCCTCGTGGGCTAAGGTTTACTGAAGTTTCAAGTTTCCTGAGGCCTAGTAGGACCTGTATCAAGTAGGCTTTTCTGCTGTCTAATCTCACTGTGGGTCAGAAATTCTGGCTTAAACTCATGTCCTGAGTGCAAGGCTTAAACAATGTGAAGCCAGGCTCTTTTTGGGGTAGGCAAGCTAGTTCTTGCCCATGGCTCTTAAGGGATAGATGCGAAACTCAGCCTAGACACTGTTTGACCTATTATAGGAGCCCTCTCAGTTCGGGATCAGTAGAGTCTCCAGGCACAAGACCCTCCTTCACAGCTATGTCATTCCTGTGTTAAGCAAGGTGCCATGATTACTGTCTTTCTAACTCTTTCCACCTTGGGTACCTCTGTGAAGACCTTGGACATGTGGGAAAAAGGCCTTCTTTTGGGGACTTTCTGAAAGGCTACATGATCCTTTAACTCTTTCAGGAGGGTTTGCCTGACAACTCTTCAGTTTGCCTTCTCAGTCTTCCTGGACCTTTGCCTCACTGAGGTCTTTGAGGATTAAACAAGATTGTAACTATGAAGTTGCTAGCCCAGTGCATGAACTTTACTCGGTCCCTAGTCATTTAGTTCTGTTCTCTTTCGTTTTGCTCTAGCATGGGCATCCTACATGACCAACTCCCCGACTCTCATTGTTATGATTGGCTTGCCAGCCCGGGGCAAAACCTATGTGTCCAAGAAACTCACACGCTACCTCAACTGGATTGGAGTGCCCACCAAAGGTAGGTGCAGGTCATTCATTCTTTGGGAAGGAAAATGATCAGTTCCTCCATCTCATAGGCCTCTGGGGGATTTATTCTTCCTAACATCAAGGTTACAGGGCGCTCCTGGCAGAAATAGAGGTTGCTTCTGGATTTGCTGAATTTATTCCCTGTTCACAGACTTGTTTTCTCCTGGTGTACTTTTGAGGGAATGCCTTTGATAGTTCACGCTTTACATTTTCAAAGCTCTTACATATATATCATCTTGTTTAATCCTAGCAGCACCCCAGTGAAATGGTAGAAGTGGCCGAGGAAATTGAAATCGAGACAGCTTAAGACTTGCCCAAGGTCTAATAAGTCTAAACTCGAGCATAATTTGGCTCTTTTTTTTTTTTTAAATATATCTTTATTGATTTCAGAGAGAGGAAAGGAGAGGGAGAGAGAGAGATAGAAACATCAATGATGAGAGAGTCATTGATCGGCTGCANTAGGCCTCTGGGGGATTTATTCTTCCTAACATCAAGGTTACAGGGCGCTCCTGGCAGAAATAGAGGTTGCTTCTGGATTTGCTGAATTTATTCCCTGTTCACAGACTTGTTTTCTCCTGGTGTACTTTTGAGGGAATGCCTTTGATAGTTCACGCTTTACATTTTCAAAGCTCTTACATATATATCATCTTGTTTAATCCTAGCAGCACCCCAGTGAAATGGTAGAAGTGGCCGAGGAAATTGAAATCGAGACAGCTTAAGACTTGCCCAAGGTCTAATAAGTCTAAACTCGAGCATAATTTGGCTCTTTTTTTTTTTTTAAATATATCTTTATTGATTTCAGAGAGAGGAAAGGAGAGGGAGAGAGAGAGATAGAAACATCAATGATGAGAGAGTCATTGATCTGCTGCAGCCCGCAACCCGGGCACGTGCCCTGACCAGGAATCGAACCCCGATCTCCTGGATCCTAGGTCGATGCTCAACCACTGAGCCATGCCCGGCTGGGCTAATTTGGCTCTTAATCTGCTATTGATCCCAACATACCTTGGTGCTATTTTTATCCCCTTGGCCACTCCAACATTAGACCAGGATGTCCCCTTTGGTGGGGCCATTGTGTTATTTCACTGCTGAAGGATACTGGTGTCTTCTGCAGTCTTTAACCTTGGGGTGTATCGGCGTGAAGCAGTCAAGTCCTATAAGTCCTATGACTTCTTCCGGCACGACAACGAGGAGGCCATGAAGATTCGCAAGTGAGTTTTCTTAGGCCTGACCCTGGGCCAGCTCTTTCCTGGCCATCAAAGGAGTGGATGCACTGGGGCTTAGTTTTCCTTTCCGTAAATATCTTGTGGGGATTTTAAGTGGAAGTTATTTTCTGGATAGGTCACTCTGGGTTTGGGTGGGTAGAAGAGCAGGGCTCAGGGAGAAGCACATATGCTTACAGGTTAAGGCTACAGAGGGATAAGATATATGCATGGGGTAGGGGAAAGGGAGACAGATAGGATGACCAGTGATGAAGGGATGGGACTCCTAGAGCAGCCCACTGCTCGTGTCTCTGGCTGTGACTGATCTTGGCCTTGCTGCGTTCCTCTTGCTGATTTCTTCTGCTCTCCTGGCAGACAGTGTGCTGTGGTGGCACTGGAAGACGTTAAGGTGTATCTCACTGAGGAGAGTGGGCAGATTGCGGTAAGCCTTACCTACCTCCTCCCGCCTTGGCCTCCGCCCTTGCAAAGCTGCACAGCCCCACCTTGGGTCCACTGTGGTGGATTCCATTTCTCGTTCCACACGCATATACATTGTGGGCTCTCTTCCCAGGTGTTTGATGCCACCAATACAACTAGGGAGAGGAGGGACATGATTTTGAACTTTGCCCAGGAGAATTCCTTCAAGGTAGGATCTGACTCCATGCTGGAGGAAAAGGGATAAGTGGAGGTAGGCAGGTAGAAGGAACATGTGGGCCTGTTTGACTCTGGTGAGTGAGGACACCATTGGACGTCTGATTCTGTCCTCTTGGGGGAGGCCCCCAACCCTTGAGTGTTTTTTTTGTAGGTCTGTCCTCAGACCCTTAACCTTTATGTCTGAGGCCCTGGGGATGTGGTAAGAGTTATTTTTAAATGAAGAGGCCATGAAAGCACTTTCGTGAAAGAGAATCCTGGGAGATGCGGTGGCTGGGGTGGGGCAGGTATGAGCATGTGCTCTTAATGAACAGCCTGGCCAATTTTGACCCACTGATTACTGCCCTCTCTTTCTGGCCAGGTGTTCTTTGTGGAATCTGTCTGTGATGATCCTGATGTCATCGCTGCCAACATCCTGGTGGGTGACACCCCTGCATACCACCACTTCTATCCTTTGTGCCTGTGGGTGGGGAGGGAGGGGGATGAGGGAGAGTCGACTGGGTAATAAGAGAGAGAAATAGACATGTTTCACATCACCGACTGATCTGTTTGATCTTCCAGAGCACCATTTTATATTTCCACACTCTTGGGAGAGGAAACTGAGGCTTTGAGGAGTAAAGAAAAAACTAGCTGTTGCGTGGAGACCAAGACAGACTAGACTGTAGGATTCCCGGTCCCATGTCCTGGGTATTACCTGGGTGCTGAGACCTAGATATATTCTTAGAATAGACCAGACTTCATTATCTGTCAGGGCCACCTTCTAAGAAGGTCATCTGCCTAGCAATTGTCTAATGGTCACAGCATAAACCAGTGCCCATTTGATGGGTTGTGCTGTGTCGAGTAGACATTCATGCCTGGTGTCATGATGGTGCTCTCCCAGCAATGTGGAAACTCGGGGTCATCAAAGGAAGAGGCATCTGGTCCAGTCAGGCATGCATCAAATCAAGCACCCTATTGTAACGGGTTGTGGGGAGAAATTGAAGCACATTCTGTTTGCCTAGGAAGGTACATGAAGGGATTGGGGCTCAGGAGCAGCTTCAGCTGCATGACTGCCACTGTCCTTCAGCCAAGGGCAGGCACATGACTCCCCAGTTGTCTTTCCCTTCTTGGTTGCCAGGATCATAGGACTGTGGGGGTGGTGCTCAATGAATGGGGATTGCCAGTGCTCCAGTGAAAGGCCACTTCTGTGGACTTCCTTTTCTTTATTTAGCAGTGGCTGTTTGCAGGAGGACTGTTGAAGGGAGACCTCTGACTAGGTCCTGCTCTTCTATGATTCCAGGAAGTAAAGGTGTCCAGCCCTGATTACCCTGAAAGGAACAGGGAAAATGTGATGGAGGACTTCCTAAAGAGAATTGAGTGCTACAAAGTCACCTATCGACCCCTTGACCCAGACAACTATGACAAGTAAGGTTTAAGGCCACTGTTTGAAGAACATAAATAGGGGTCTAATATGAGAAAAGAGCCTTTCTCAGTCCCCAAACTTCCCGTAACATTTATATTACTCCAGAGAAACAAGGTATGGATTTGTGGCTTCTGTGTGGATTGCATCTTATACGTGAACACTGAAGTGTGTGTTTTGTTGTTTTTTGTTTTTATAATCATCAGTTCTTCCTCTTTATCCATCTAGAGCAGGGGTGGGGAACCTTTTTTCTGCCAAGGGCCATTTGGATATTTATAACATCATTTGCAGGCCATACAAAATTATCAACTTAAAAATTAGCTGTGAAAAAAGCTCCTAGATTTATTGAATTTTGAGACCCCCTGGTTGCCTTGGCAGGGGCCAGACCAAGTGATTTCTTGGGCCATATATGGCCCACGGCTGGATGATCCCCACCCCTGCTCTAGAGCAATATTTCTCAGCCTCAGCATTATTGACATTTTGAACTGGATAATTCTGTGTAGTAAGTGGTTGTCTTGTGTATCGTAGGATATTTAGCAGCATCCCTGCCCTCTGCTCACTAGATACCAGGAACATTTCCAACCTGTGACAACCTGAAATGTTTGCTGACATTGCCAGATGCCCCTGGGGAGTAAAATCACCCTTGCTTGAGAAGCATTGCTCTTGATCAGTGGTTTTGACTACGGTATTATAGGACACCCCTTAGAGATGTGTCGTCAGTTTTTGGTCAATTTGAAAAGTGTATTGTGTATGTGTGTGTGTATATAGGATGTCTGAAAAAAATGTATACACACTTTGAATAATTTATCAGTTCCAATGGGTTAAATCTGAAAAGAGAAAAACATCAATCGAACTGAGAGCTGTTGAAGTGTGTGTACATTTTTTTGGGACACTCTGTACATGTTAAATAGTGTATTATATATTAAAATGTATATATACATATTAATATATACATATTAATATATAATATAATACATATGTAATATAAAATATACAGTGCATGTCTATACATGTAATGCATATGTAATATGTTATCTGTTATATATAACTTGAAACATATAGAGCAGATAATTTATTATGTATATAAATAAAACATGTAGAGTCCTCAGGAACTTGCCTGGCTTAGAGAAATGTCTGATCAATGCTAGCTGTCGTTACCACCAGCAAAGTGGTATACAATACAGGTAACTTGATGTGTGTGAGGTATAGGAGCCAAAGCAAAAGGTCAAGTTCATGCTGAAGAAAGATGTGTGACATCAAAACCCGTGAGAACTTGGGGTGGCAAACACACAATAAAATATACAGATGATGTATTGTAGAATTGTAAACCTGAAACCTGTATAATTTTATTAACCAATTTCATCCCAGTAAATTCAATTAAAAAAGAAAAAAAGACACCTGTGCAAATGTGGCCTTTGGAAAGGCACACAGTCAGAGCAGTTATCAGCTCCGTTCAAATAATAATACAGCCCTGCAGCCAAGCAAAGGAGAGGCAGGTGTGCAAACCCCCTGGCTCATCACTCCGGTGGGCTGCTTGTGAGTCTTTCAGTTCCTTCAAGGGGTTGCCCAGAATGTCAGTATTTGAAGGTATTTTTTATGCAGAGGTTGAAAACCACCGCCCTAGATATGGCATAATAGCATATTCTTCAGTTACCCCCAAAGTCTTGCATAGGAAGAACATCCTGGAGGGGGATGTGTGTGTGTTTAGAGGTCTTATCTCTGATGGTAGGTAGGCTTATGGGTGATTTTTAATTTGCGTCAGTCTTTTTTGGGGGGAATTTTTTTTTTTTTTGGAATAAGCACTTATTATTTTTATAATGAGGTAAATTCCATGGTGGCTACAAAGCAAACCATCCATGGAAGTACCTTTGAGAGAGGCTTGATTCAGGTAGGTGCTGGAAATGCACAGCCATGTCTGCCGTTCTGCCTCCCCCTGCCCTCCCCTCCCCT